ATATATTTGTATTTTTCATGCCTTGTTTTTTTTACAAGAATTTTTCAAATTGTAGTTGAACTGTAAGTCAGAAATTGTTATATCATAATATTACATAGCCATTAACGATATCGCGAGAAAGTATGTACTGTTGTAGCACTACTAGTTTTTAAATGAAACATGTTCCTTAAAAACAGGTTTCAAATAAGTGAGTCTTTTACAATATATAAAGTAGGTGTATTTAAAAAAAATTCTTAAAATACTTTAATAATAATAATAATAATAATAATAATAATAATAATAATAATAATAATAATAATAATAATAATTCCTGTTCAAGACACATTTTATTTTAAACAGTTGGTAACACATTTGTTTTGGATTCATGACATTAAAAACATTGAAGCTAAAATTTTTGTATATCATGAAAGCAAAAGAAAACAAGAATCAAATTACGTTTGCCCCTTCCTACACAAATTTCTCCAGAACTTTCCTCCACATGTTACTGAAATACACTTATATTCTGATAACCAGAGGACAAAATAGCAATATAACCACACAACATTCTGAGAAACACTGACATTTAACATTTAAATTACATTTGGATCAGTATTCCTTTAGAATGTTGTTGTCTGGTTAGACTACTATTTTAACCATACTACCTGGTCGGAAGCACATGGTTGGCGTGGCATGAAGAGGCTGTAAAATGTGGTTCATTGATTTCAACCAGTTCTCATTCATTTGCGTGTCAGGTCATGGTCTGATTCAGACTTGGCACGAGATGGACCCATGTGCAATAGCAACTACATGTGGAGTTGGGTTTGGTTGCTGGACTTGACTTTAATATGTATTAGTAAGGTGTGTACTTTCTATATTTTGTTTTGTTTTAGTTTATAAATGTATATGTTAGTGGAGTGTTAATTTTTAGTTTGTTGTCCTCATGATTTGCCTTTGTACTCTAGCCCTGCTGAATAAATTACTAATTTTATATTATTAATTGTTGTTAATGATTACTTGTTGCTAAAATAAAAATATTGAGAAATTTTCGTATCTAATTGATATTAGGTATGAAAGACTGTCATTATTATTTAAATTTCCACATTATGTTATAAGGGATGAAGTCGAACAACTTTATTATTGTTTTACCAACACAGAATACCCTTTGCACAGTTTTTGTCAAATGTAGATATTTTTATTGATTTATTCCATTTCCTGTATTTTTAACAGAACAAAATCAGATATAAGTAAATCAGCATAAGATGATTCAATTAATCCAGATACCCCTGAAACGTTTTGTTTACTTTTGTTCATGTTTTAGTTTAATCACATAAAGAATATATAAATATAATAGTTAGTTATTGTTCAGAAATTTGTATGACTGTCAATTATTAATTTATTGTAACTGCCAATTACAATGCATTATTGCAATAAAAAGGTACAATATAATTGTATTTACTGTACTTTGAGTATTTCAAGTATTTTAAATACCTATGTTTAGCAAATCAAAACCTTAATTTACTTGGATTTAAATACCTATTTACAAAGTATTTTGGCGAAGTATTCACAGTTCCTGACCACATTAATGTGACCACCTGCATTTTCTACATTTTGCCATTCTGTAATTTACTGGTAATGTTTGCTACAGGAGTCTTAGAAACAAACCTTTTGAGGAATGATTTTGTGAAAGAGGTCCAAGTTCTATTGATGCCTTAATTTCTCCTTTTTCTTTAGAAACAGGTTCTTTGGCCTCATCACAGAACAAACAACAGATGTAGGTGAAGATTAAGTGATACAAAAAGTTAATAAGAAAGGCACTTTTACAAAACAAAGCAATAAAATTAAGAAAATCTACCCTGGACTACTGGTTTTAGATGAACACCTATGGATACTAGTGATGAGTAAAATTTACTCATCTGCATTTTAATAGACATTTTAAAGAATTTGCGATATTGAAACAGTACAATTCTAAAATGTACTTTAGTTATAAGTTAATAAGTAAACCACGCCAATCAAACTAAAATATTGTGATTAGTTTTCAAACTTCCTTTAAAAATTCTATTAAAATGCAGATGTGCAAATTTTACTCATCAGTATTATCCATAGGTATTCATCCAACACAAGTAGTCCAGGGTTACGAAAATCTAAGATAAAACAGTAAATTATAGATAAACATACTGAAAGAACTCACATTTATTGAAATAAACAATTATTTCAAAAGAAAAATATGCAGGTATTAACTAATAAAACTAATGTGGCCAGCTATAGGACTAAAGTTGTCATAGAAAAAAAAATTGTAACACATATTCACAAGAAAACTACAAAAAAAACATTATTTGAGATCCACGTTTTACCTTAAAAATAAAAGAAAAGCAAAATGTCAAAACGCTATTAAATGTTGCTGGTAGTTACAATAGTATGGCCGGATACTCTAAATATTAAATTCTAAGTATTTTGCCCAACACTGTTTTTATATACAATGTAGGCTTTCACAGCCGGTTTCTGCATCATAATTAGTTGTTTCTGGGTTTGTAGGCCGTGGTCCAACAACACAGTGCTGCCAAGACGGACACTTCGCCCCCGCCAGCAACGCCACTGATGATGCCTGCCACAGTTGCAGGCGAAACGTTTGGACCAGTTGGACCATGGCCGACAAACTCGAAAACAACTAATTATGACTGTTTATGTAATTGGAAGAGCTTTGGCTGCTGTTTAGATATCTTTCGTTTGCTCACTCTGGAAAATCGTCCAACTTGCCCCAGTGGAAGAACCTGATCGTAATTTGTAAGGTGACAATGCTGTTATTGCTGTGACAGAAATTTCTTTCCTTTTATCTGAATAAGCTTTGATATGATCCTCTACTTTGTTTCTTGAATTTTTCTGATGGTGTGAAATTACAGGTTATATCAATTCTATTTCTGTTGCTTCAATACCTCCTAGTTTTAGATCTTTTAGAAGTTCAATACTTGTTATCAAAGTACAAGTGATAAGGGACATCCACAAGAATGTGATCTGCATTAAATCATTACTACTCCATATCCCAAACCATTATTTGAGCATCTCTCAGTGCTTGTACCTGCACCTTAGTAACGTAATATGAAATGACAATCACTAGTTTCTTCATATCAGAATTTATAACCTTATTGTGAATTCCTAGGTAGCCTATTCAATTTCTTCACTCATATATTGTATTGTCAGTCGAGAGTACTATGTAATCTAAGGTTCCTGTGATGCCTATATGAGATAAATAAAGGCAGGAAATTTCTTTTAAAAAACCGTCCAAACCAAAAATTTGCTAGCTGAGTTCACTTGAATAAAAGGATGAAGCCTCGATTACATCAATAACATATTCAACAGCTTGAGTTGTTCGTCTGAAGTGGTCTTGATCAACTTTTAATGTCAATTTTCTTTGTTTTTAGGACATTGTTAAAGCAATTTAAGAGCATTTTATTGATCATTTTTGGCAATGTTTTATGTCATCAAAATCCGGCCCCGTTATTACTAACGTACAAATTTGCCATGATAAAGTCAAATCTTTCTCTTGCTATAGCATCTGAAACAAGCTAGTTGTGACCATCACTTGCCAAATGACATTTTTCTGGGTATTTCAATGCAGCCACTAGAAGAAACAATACCATAAAGACTAGCATTTCATTCTTGGTACAAACCAACACATATTACTCATCATACCATACTACTCATCAGTTACACAATAATCAATAATGTAATAAAAATAAACAAACCCTACCAAAACTATGTCTGTTAGTTAGGTCAACTACTAAACACACATTTTTTGTGAAGGTTAGTAGCAGCTAGGGCTGGTTATTAAACACCCTCAACAATGGGTTTTTTAGTATTATAAAATGTCCAAACAGTGAATGAATGTAATCATGAACAGATGCTCATGATTATATTTTGATATTTTCTTAAATATGCACATCATCCTTCTGAAAGGATCATCTGGGTGATTCAAAATATCACAAAATAATCAACAAAATCTCTCTTTACATAATGGACATTTTGATATGAACATTGATGATCATGTTTTAGCAACAGTTATGAATCGATACAAAGACAACTGCATCCATTTATTTTCACCTGCATACATTCGTTTTTGGATTATCCCAAATGCCCATTTGTCAAGATGGAACATTTTAATCAAGATATTCAAGCTATAGTGGACAGTACCCTTCAAAAAGTGTGTTTCAGCTCCACCAAATGACAAAAAGAGAAAAATTGGATCAATTTAATTCTTGTCTTATTTGGAGAGCCAAATTATGCTAGCTGCAAACTGTTTTCAAGTTCAGTTTGAAGAAATTCAGGTTTCTTCTTAGAGCTTTAAATCGTTAAAAAATTATAGAACATCTGCTATGATAATTGTTATTCTTTAAACGCGTTCTTCGTCTGCATAACCTCACCTCCAAACAATATTTAGGGAAAACAAAACAAAACTATTGTAGAATCAAACCAAACATAACCACTTATATTTACTATAAAAATCATTCTTAAATGTGTGATGAAATGTTTTTTATTATTTTATTTTTGGAATAAACATTTGAATACTAAGTGTATGTTTCCGGGTTTCTTAATTTCCATTTTTCTTACATCAGATGTGAGTGTAGTCGTGAATGTCATAGGTTTGTCAAACAGTTTGCCATCCAACAAAATGAGTCTACCTCTCTAATGTTGTTAAAACAATATCAACAATGAATGTACAATTCCCAAAGGAACTACACACACACTTCTGGAAGAATGCCAGCATTATCTGGGTGTCTGATAGATACGATCATGAACAAAAACATGAAATTGTATGAACATCATATCTTTACACATAACTAAATACAGGAGAACTTGAATAGCAAATACCGTTAGTTGCAACTCAAACGTGCTACAACTGGCAAACGTCACTACTCCTCTTTAGGCAGGAGATAGGTCATGTCAAATAATGTTTTGACAGTAATAACAGTAAAAAGATTTGGTAAAAGACATATTAAAATCTTACACTACTTCATGTAATGAATGTACATCAAAATTTCATTACTGAATTTATTGTATACAATGTTGTATACATTGTTGTATACATTGTTGTACACAACAATGTATTCAGTCATTTTTGTCTTGCATTGTTCTTGTATTAATTTTCATTTTGTTTATCTTCTATTAAGGGCTAATTCTGCCTACATCACTGCCACAGTACCTCTGATGTGAAATTTGTTTGTCAAATGAGTTCATTGATAACGAGTAAGACCTCAAACAGCCTGAATAGAAAGTGCATTAGCAGCTGTTTCTCTCACCTCATGTTCCTGCTCTCCCTCTGCATCGGACGCCTCCTCCGGATCCACAAACACTCTCTGCGGTGGCTTCAGCTCCTCCTGCAGTGCAGCAAAGCATTACACTCTCAAATACCATCTCTGATGGTTGGATAAGGAGGCAAAGCATATCTCACCAACATTACATACTCAAAAACGAATAATCTGCGCAATAAGAAAAACAAAAAGGAAATATTCCAATAGAGAGGATTTAGAAGAAACTAACAACACTCCCACTTCCCACATAGCTTTATCCTAAGTACCAAATACTTTTCTATCTATATATTATCTAAAAACTTATTTATGTCATTTTTATACAAACTCCTAAATATGTTTTGCAATCTTGGTAACGTCTCTAAATATTCATTTTTCTCTCTCGTTCTCTTACATTTGTTTTATGCATGGTAGAATGTTAAAAAGCATTGAGGTATTATGAGGCAGTATTAAAAGAATATTTAATTCTAAGCCAAAAAAGAGGAGATCCATAAAGTGCAGGCCTCTCCTGAAAGAAGTATCCTTCAACAGATAATTTATGTAATGTAATTATTCCCATGTATTAACAATAAAAAGACCAATTATGAAAAAAAGTTTAAGATCTTTTACGAATTCCACACATAAAACTATTATAACATTCTTTGATCAGATTTTGTGCCTTGGATAGGTTTTAGTTTAACACAATTTTTCTTTTTGAAAGCCATTCTTTTGTCTCACTTTCACCAGAAGAAAACTCAAGGCACATCACTACCTAAGTTTATCTTTGTCAAAGGCATTTATGAATCACAAATGAATGATAATCTACATGCATATTATTAAACAATCTAAACAGAAATTATTACCTCATGTTCCTGCTCAATATCATCAATGGGCTCCTCCTTGAGAACTACTCTGACCGGTAGTTCAAGTTCCTCCTGCAAACGAACCAAAACTATCACCCATTCAAATATTATCTTTTTGGTTGGATGAATAAGAAAGAGAATCTGACAAACATTATAAACACAAGGGAGAGTAATCTAAACAACAATAATAAAAGCCAAAACTACACACTTCAGTAGGTACTGAAAACATAACATCCTGCTGATATACTCATACTAGTGTCCTATTCATATATGTGTATTCATTTATGTGCCCTCATGCTAAAAAGAACACATTTTATAAATTTAACTCTCAAGTTTGCCATCTTAATTCTCATTATCCACTGTGTGCAAATACACTACACCAGAGATGCATATATTCTTCAGGAATTTTACAATTAGATCAGATACATTATTCACACTGATCTGATATTTTACAAGATGCACCACCTGATCAGTCAATGTAAATCCACTGAATATTTGTTGAAAGTGAAACTCCATGTTGAGTCATTAAAACTTATTTGACATACTTTGAAAGCCAAATTCAATTAAATCATTTATTTCAAAAACATGACACCCATTCTAAAAGACAGTGCATCAAGCACCTTACTAAAGAATAAATTTAAAATCTTAACATTTCATCAAAAATTACTTCTAATGAAATTCCCTGCCTTTTCACCGTTTTCTTGACGGTGACTACTCTACACTACTTAATTTCTATTCCCACACAGTTCAAGAAGAAACTAAAGCCTCAGAGGATAGGCAGAGAGAAGATTTGACACAACCAACCCACCTCTTCATCATCGTCCTTCTCCTCTTTTCCCTTCACAGAGGAAGTCTCCCCTTCTTCCTGCAAAGAGCATAGATAACCGTATACTACTTCATAATAGATACAATATTGAAACAACACCAAAAAACTGTCAAGTACAATAAACTTACTCTGAATAAACAACAAGTAGAAATCACATTCATTTTTTTGGTTTTAGGTTTTATCTCTAATTGAAAACAATTCGACGCAAATTGAAATTCCTCAAAACCTCCTTTATTTATTTAACATCAAAAACGGTTAAAAACTATGTGAATGTCTATGAAGACAAAAATTTTCTGAGCACAATATCATCAATTCTTAATAACAAGTTTTTATGTATTACTATCATAAATTAATATGAAATATTCAATCTGTATATATTAATAATCCATAAAATATTTGAAAACATAAACTATTTGTTTCATATTTTATTTATTTATATAAGCGAGGTATTTTCTCTCATCAAATACAATGAAAGCAAAATTTTTACTTATTATGACAAAGCTTCCTTAACTCCCTCATAGCTGAGAATAACTCCAACTTCTTAAACTTACTTACAAAAAAAAAGACAAAAAACTCACTCTGAAAGTCCACTTTTGCTCTTCGGCTTCATCATCAGGTTCCTGTTTCACCTAAAGACAAGACAAACAGGTATTCTTAGAAACCATTCAAAACACACCTCAAGTTCACATTACCTTTAACACTATAATCATCCCTAGAAATTGTTATTATTACACAACATCCCAAAAGTACAATTATTCACTCATACCACGAATTTATAGGATTATTCTTGAAAATCACATTTTCCAACACTGCAGGTACCAGTAACTGTATTTTAGTGTTTTCATGATGATTTAAAATTCACCAATATCTATTACAGACTTCTGTTAATCCAAATCGCAGACAATTTTTCTATGAAGTCCATGTTCTCACAAGTACTGTAATGCAGTGTCAATTTTTTCCAAGTGGCCACTTATTTCCTGGAAGTAATTTCTCTGTTTTTCAGGTGAAGTTCAGTAAGTGACCAGCCAAGTTTTTTATTATGTACATGGACCAATTAGTTTCCTTGAACACATTTCATTTGGCATTTATTAATCACTAAGCACTGATGCAATAAGTCACAATTTTACTATCAAACAAATGACCTCCCTCGCTATTAATGACTTGGCTAGAAAACTCACGTTGTCATCAGAATATATTGGTCACAATTGAACTATAACTCACAATGCAATTCAATTTACACTCCTCTATACTGTCATCTTGTTCTTCTTTGACCTGGAAATAACAAAAATGAAGACATATTAGTACGTAAATATAATTCATGTGATTGCAATATGTCTAAGATCTCTCCTGTCACTACCAATAAATACATTTGATTCTACCATAAACTAAAAAAATTACACAGCTCTAGATGAATGTCCCATGAAAAAATAACCTCAAGAAAACAATTTTAAGACACATTCATGATATTTGTTAATTAAAGACATTTGTCTTTACTTTTGGGCATGTTTTAATACTCTCTCTTACAATATACTAATTTTAAAGTAAACACTTACATCTTCTCTTTTAATGATATTTGCAGCTAAAATTGTCGTTTCTTCCATTTTTATTACTGTTCGGTATCAGTGGCAATACAAAAAAATATTTACTCATGCAAAAGATTTTATACAATTTTGTCTTGCCCTAAGCAAGAACCTGAATTGAAACGGAGATCGCGAGTGTTTATGGCCACGTGTAAGAAGCAGCTGGAGTAGGAGTGTCATCTCCAGCATTGGTAAACAACGTGTTAAATCTTTTGACTATTTATTTAGCGTTGATCACAGCTGCACTCCAAGGAATGTTAATATTACTATGCCTAAACTATAGTACGATTTATTTAGTTGTGCGCTTGACGTAAATCAGCTGTTGCTGTTGCATTCAATCGGGAACTCATATGCCGTTGCAGTGACATCACTATGGGAACATTCAAGTTCCCGATTAGATGAAACAGTGGACAGCTTATTTCCGTCAAGTCATGGTTAAATCATATAATAAATCATATCATTCTAATACATCTATTCTGTCCCAGACTACGCTATGGTGGGAATATGACAGAAAATACTTGACCAATTTTGTGCGTTCAATATGCTGTGCGGTATTTTTGAACCGTACGTTGGTATAATTGATTTACCATATATTCGGGAATTACGAAAGATATTCGATATATTGCTATGGTAGTGACCTAGGATGAAAACATAATGCAATAAAATAAAGTGGTAAAATATAAAGAAAAAATTAAAACAATTGAATGAAGAAAACAATATTTATCTTGGAGGAAAAAGGACACTGAAATTGTAAGATATTATCAATAAAATACTCACATTTAATTTTAACAAAAATATTTATGAAACAAGTTATAATTCTCACGTAGTTACTTTAATTAAATATGAAGAATGGATACAATTCTTTATATCCATTAATAAAATCAAGAAAGTACGTAATTAAACCATCATTCTCAGTATTTGCAATAAAATAGTTTGACCACCATAACCTGCGTAAATAATAAACAAACCACATACATATTTTCATTGTGATGATATTAAGACTGCGACACAATATAAGGGAAGAAGACTTTGCTTCTTAACCTACTAAATATCAATTTTGAAGAAAAGTTTACGTTACGAGCACTGTACTGTGCACACGCGTTTTTGCTGTGTCTTACATTTGCAAATGTTATTGACATTTTTCTTCCCTTTGTTTTGTGATCTTCAGATTTATTTGTTGAATGTGTGGACTAGGTGTTGACTACTGTTTTGATCGCTTTGACATAACTGAAGTTGCTTTTAAAGGACTCTTTTTCTCGTGTGGCTTCTAACCTCATTCTGCTCGCATAAAGTTTGCCGACCTATCTTTATTGGAGCCTATTTACTGGAGGTATGTTTCTGCCTGTATACATCGCCTATTGCATTTTCATTTTCTGGTTCTATGTTGTAGCATTCCTGATAATAACTGATTCGGCTATGTTTTTGTGTGGTATTTGCTTGTAATGTTTATGTGTGAAGGGATAGCGGGGGTAATGGGGATCATAGGGTAATGGGAGTCAGCGGTAAATTATCGACAAATATTGGAAATTATTAATACTGAAAGGTAGAAACATGTACTCCTACCTATCATTCGTCACGATCACTACTGCCAGTTAATCGCCTCAGCCAAAGAAGGCTTACATCGACGATTATTGCTTACGTACTAGAAATGTGAGTGGTTGATGTTAGAAAGAGCTCTAAGAAAATAGGGTCTTACTCACGTGAACTTGGAAATTTCTGGAAGAATTAAAATTTGATGGAAGGGAAGTTCTTTAGAAAATCATTTGATACCAATTGCGAGTAATTTTAAAACATTCTATAATTTTTTCATGAGCAGTAATAGTAAAAATGTACTTGTGGGGTATTGGTGGTCAGTGATTCTCATTACCTGCAGCGTGACTGAGAGTCCCGGACAAAGTAATTTATTGATCTAAATGAGTTTGCTTGCTATCACATTCCCAAAATTCGCAAACGAACTACCTATGAAAGAGAGTAATCATCAGAAGAGTTGCAGCAGCGTAACGTTTGGGCCCGCAATGCGGGCGGGCCGGGGTAAAAGGGGGCCTATTTTTATTATTTAAGGCACTAACGCTACTTAGGGGGGCCTGGACCAAAATTTTTGCCGGCGGGTCCGCACTTATTTCGTTACGCTACTGGACCGTTGACTACAGCAATTAAATCAATAATTGAAAGTGCAAGGCCCGCAAAGCTGTACATATTCATACTAACCCTTTTAGCACACTACAGAGGAGGTATTACTCGCGTTAATTTTCTTGAACAATGGATTGAAGAAATGCAGATAGAGTGGGGATATTAGTTACGAAATCGGCCACTAGATTTTATGAAGCAATGCCAATTTGTGGGAATCAGTCATGCCTTCGCAACTTTCTCAATAATTTGCGTTCTAACTTTCTCAGGAGTACGAGGTATCTCCTGTGATGGATATTCACCTGCTTCGGTAATTTCTTTAGATTTTTTGGAGAAAATCACGGACAGAAGTTCTCGTCTTCAACGGAAAATAGTTTATATTTCGCACCAGTGTAGACGGGTTTGGAATGTTATCATCAGTGCACGCTACGAGCTTTTGTTGTGTCAGAGAGGGGGAAGCAATGTTAAAAAAAATTGCGCGAGTAATACAAACCTTAGAATGAAAATAAATAGTTTGAAGTACTAATATGTTCTTTTTGTTTCATATTTCTTTAGGGACTCCCATTGCCCACATCGTGATCTTTATACTCGAGTTTCTGCATATGAAAATGTAAATATCACATAATCCAACTTTTCTACTGGGACTGATTCCATTATCAACAAGATTGAAGATCGCAGACGCCGTTCTGCTAACAGTTTTACTTTATCGCAATTGATACTGCGGTAGAAGAAAAGTTATGTCACGCCGCGCGAAAAAAACGGTGAATTTTCGACAGAAAACTCTTACTCAATCTTCGAGTTTGTTGGCCCCAAAATATAATACAGAGTCTAAATTTTCACGCAAAAAATAATTTGCGTGTGAAAATGGATTTTTCAAAAGTTATGAGTGTTTAAAATCGATGTTGTTTGTTTTTTCAAATAATCCATATTTCAATTAAGGTACACAAAGCGCAAGAATGTACATTTCTAGATCAAAATTTATTGATTATTAGTTTCTAGTAGTCTTTATTTACTATGGCTTGCACATTCTGTACAATCTTGATCCGAACGTTTAAATAGAAAATTCCCACCGACTGTAGAATTCCCAAATATCTGTAGGAGTCTTCAGTGTCCAATTTTTTAATAATAGAGATATTTGCATATTTTGTTCTCCCATTTGGATTTGCCCGCGGATAACATGAAGGGTTGTGCATTTGTCAATCCCAAACTCCGCACAAACTACATTGATGAAACTCTTGACAAGTTCGAACTCGTTAAGTGATCTCTATTAGAAGCAAAGAATTATTTGAGATCATTCATATAGAGCTGGCTCGAGATTCTAACATCAGGGGAAAAACCCGACTCAATAAGTATTCTTATCCTTATTTGTCAGACCACTCTGCTCAAGGAAGTGAGTGCTATACAAAACCGTAGCGGGCTTAGGCTGTCCCCTTTAAAGATTCCACATCGAATTAGAATATTTTCCGTCACTTAACAATAGGTTCCCTTCTTAATCTATAAATGAGTTTTTAATTCTGACATGCAGTTCCTCAAGAAACATACCATCCTTCGATCGATTTTATACAAGTCGAAGACACAAGCCATGAGTGAGGTACTGAATCAAAGACTTTTTTGTAATCTATCCAGACTACAGAAATATTGCGCTGGTGATTTCATACTTGCTCCGTCATTACACTATCAATTACTAATACTTCTTCCCATTCCCTATTTCCCTTGCAACAGCCATCTGTTCAGCAGCCAAAATGTTTTGGTCAACCAAATGAGTATACATTCCTGAAGGAATTATTGAAGTCAAAATTTATATAGGCAAATGAACTTGAATAACATATTCATAATAAACATAGATTCTTCTCTACATACTATGTTTGTAAATAAAAATGTATCAAACATTTTGAACCTTAACGTTTGTCCTCTAATATCCACCTCACTTTATCCTGAATATTCCACTTTGCCCACATTCTCCGTTCCTCAAAAAACAGATACTTCTCTAAAGAATGTTCCCAATCATCCTCTTCCATTTCACAGATCCTACATTTCCCCCATATATACTTGCTCTCATTTCTTTACCTAACCTATATCTTGCTATCCTGCGTTACATTTACCTTTTAAATAGCTGGGAATATCATTCGTCAGAATAAGTTTTTACCATTTATTAAAATTATAATTCCTTATCTTTTCGTAATCGTCTTACAATAACTGATTTTTATCTCTGTGGATCAATTCTTTACTTAAGTCTACCCCTTCTCCTATTAACCTTGTAACCTCCTCCAACGAGTAACCTTTATTGTTCTAAAAACTCTTCCTTTCCCAATCAGATTTCTCAGTTGCTGTTTTTTTTTTCTTTTTCTTTTTTTTTTCTTTCATTTTCCAAACAAACTTGCGTTAATAACCCATTTCCCCTACCTCTCTTAATAATTTTTTTAGTTGCCTTAAACTTATTTTATTCTTTGATCCAAAGTGTAAAGCATATTTTGTTTATTAATGTCGCAAAATATTACATTTCTGTCACAATTACAACACGAGTTAATAATGATTAACTTTAACGGTACGAGATGTTTTTGAAAATTAATACAATCACGAAAAATAATACTTATATATAATAAATAAATATTCTACTTTTCATAGAAAAGGTTTAAACTCTGGTATATCAAGGCCAGTTTCCTTAAATTTGCGCGATTTGACCCATATACTCGTAAATTTTAAAGAAGAGGATTCAATGGGGATCCCTTTTACCTCTCTCACTCTTCTCATCCATATTTTATACAAGGATGACATGGGCGTTATTCCTCTTCAATTTTCCACCTCATTTCTCTTCCCTCTTTTGTAAACTGGAATGATTACGCCTTCCATTCCTTTAGAATAAGTCCTTGTTCAATTATTATATTCAATAAGCTTTCAATAAATCTTACCCCTTCTTTCTTAGAATAGATCTACAATTCATTCGAAATCATATCCCTTCTTTTTCTCTAATTCTTTGACAGCATTTATTTCTTCCTTGCCTATTTTTCTCATAAAATTCTTAATTTCTTTTGAATTCACTTCATTCCCATCACTTCCATGTTAACTTGACCTTCAAATCTTTCCTTAAAACATTCGTACCATTCATTCATGTCTATTTCATTTCCAATTATCCTCTTACCTTTCCCTTTCTTTCCTTAATATTTTCCATGCTTCTCTCAGATTTAACTTCATCTAGCTCATTTATTCTTCTATAATCCAATCTCTTTTTTTTATTCTTAGAAAACTCTTTTATATCCGCGCTTTTATCTTATCGTACCTTGTTTTAATTGTTTTCATTTTTTAGTTTCTCAAAGGTTCTTTTACCTCCAGTTTCTTTTCAACACCGATTATTCCCCCCATTCATTTCCTTCACTTAGATCTATCCCTTCTACTTACTAACATCTACCTCCTCATCAATCTCTTTTAATTGTGCCATCATTTCTCGGACAACACATTCCAGCTCTTTATATTTTATTTTTCTTCCAGACCATCAATTTCCTTCTCTGACAAGACTTCTCGCTCAAGTTGGCGCGAGTCCTCGCGCAGGCGTGTCCACTAGCGAGTCGTTCAGATGGCGACCGTCTCCATGATCACCACGAGAGCGCAGCAGGCAAGCGGATACGCGCCTTAGCATTTTTACGTTCTCGCGCTTAAGAAGGAACTTCTTAAGAAAAAGTTATGTAATGCTGCACGAAAAAACGGCGAAGTTTCGGCAGAAAACTCTTATTGCAGGGCCCTGGTATCGCAAAAGTGGATAAATCCAGTTACTAAATTTAGAAAAAAATCTATAACACTTGGGGCCGGTTTCACCAACCAGGATCAAATTCGTAGTTGATCC